CACTACAGCAACCTACTTCAAATGCCCTCTCTGCCTCCCATTCACTCTGCTGTTCCCGTGTCACCGTACAGATATTCTTCTCGGCTGTCAATCACTCATGGAGAGATGGGAATTTCCAGCACAAAGACCTTAAATAATGGTGAGAGAGAGATCAGCTATTTGTTGCTTTTGTCTGTGATAATTAGCGAGCCGCACAGTTCGCGCGGGGCTGGAAAAGTATTGGTTGTTTTTTTAATCTTCCACCCCTGTTAAACATTCTTTCATGAAGCTTTTTCAGCCATCATTTCTTCAAAACGCTACTCTCGCTTATCAGCTGGTTCTCTTGTGATTGATGTGTGACAGGTGCGTGTGGCGTGTCCATCAGGTTAAATAGCTCTTCAACAGGAAGCTCTGCTTGGACAGACAGTATACACATGCACATGGACAGAGAGTTAACACAGTCTTTTTGTGTTTTGGGGGCTTTGACTCTTTGGATTCTGGTTTATTTTAATAATGGATTGATATAGCACTTTTCAAGGCACCTTACAATACCACTATTCAGTCACTCTCACATTCATACACTGTTGGAGGCAGCTACAGTTGTAGCCACAGCTACCCTGGGGCAGACTGATAGAAGCGAGGCTGCCATATCTGGCCAACACCAGCAGGCGGTAGGGTAAAGTGTCTTGCCCAAGGACACAACGACCAGGACAGAGAGTCCAGGGATCGAACCGGTGACCTTCTGGTTACAGATGCGATTCCCAACCCCCTGAGCCACGGTACCCATGTGTTTCCACTTTTTTTTATTATTTTATTTATTATTCTAGTTTGTATTTGGTTTCTGTTACCATGCCTCCCCTGTGTTCCACACCTCATGTTTAGTGACTCTTGACTTCATGTTTTATCTCTTGTCTCCATGTTTGGTGTTCCTTTTCTGTCTTGTGTCTTTTCTGTTTCTCCCTCAGTCCCAGTGTCAAGCTTGTGTGTCTTAGTCTCCCCCTCGATGTGTTTCCTGTTTTATTTTAACAGTCGTGTGTTCAGCGTGTTCAGTTTTGCTTCCCCAGTTATGTCTATTTGTTGCAGCTGTGTACCCATGTGTTTCCACTTTTGTTGGTTTGTCATCCTGTACGTTCTGAGTCTCAGGTTTTTCATGTTTCTTATGTTTAGTTTCACCTTGTTTGTTAGCAGTGCATTGGTCTCCTTTTCCCTTGTATTTGCATCTTTACTCAGCCACAATAAAACGACTCGCTTGGCTCCCTGCGTCTGCTTTTGGGTCCTCACCACTCTGCTCCACACAATCATGACACATTTGGCTGTTAGGATGTTAAGGATGTTTTTAATGTAATGTGTGTGTGTGTGGGGGGGGGGGCGGGGGGAGGGTTCAACAGACAGGGCACACAGATCCATGAGTAAGAAAGAAATTCCAGAAATCGAGTGTTTCGAGCAGTCTGAAGCCTCAGCCTCATTATTTAACGTTTTGGCTATGTTTAACATGAACATACACCGTTGTAATAGTGTATGTGGCATAGCAGCACAACTGGATACTTACAGAATGAAATTTCCTTTCCAGAGATGAGGAAGTTGAACTGCACAACTTAAAAGAAATATAGAATATAATATAAATGTATATAAACATATACATGCCTAATATCTACTACTACTTGTATTGCATTTATATGAATAAGAACATGTATGGATTTTTTTAACTAGTTTCATCCCTGATGTAATGATGCATCTCTGACATATATTCTGTTACTTGTGGCAATTTATTCTGTCTCAATTATAATTTTTAATTCATTAATTATTTGTTATACTATTTACTTTAAAACCAAAGTGAAGCAACTTGATTTATGTTAATAAAACGCTTGTACTATCTGTGTGCATCACAATACAACATCTCTGTCTATGTTTAGGCTCCAGTCAGGTGAGATGAAATGAATATACAGGGTGCACATCATAACAAAATATCAAATTTAATGTGTTACAAAAATAAAAAAACAAACAAAGAAAGATTTAATTTAATTTAATTTTAAAAAAAACAAAAAAAACAAAGTGTAAGATGATATTAGTTTGTATCAGAGAGCATTTAACTGCATGGTATGTTGTGTATTCAAGATAATTATATAATAAATAAATATATTTACATATTGGATGATTTTTCTGTTTGTTTGTTTTTTGTTGTTGTTTTGTTTTGATGAGGAGGGGTTTTCTACGTGCTGTATTTCACTGTTACTAAAACTGGGTTTGACTGGCAAAAAATAGAAACACATGTTTTGATTCTGTTGCTAAAAATTGCTGCCAAAATCCACACAGCTGTTAAAAGTGAGATGATGCATGTGCACACTTGTGCACTCTGGCTCAGTATGATTCTTAAATGGTAGAAGCTTAAATGTATAAATGTTTTAAGACTGCTTTTGTGCTTTTCTTTCCTTGACTGCATATTTCCAGTCCACTTTGTTCAAAGATATTTTAGACACATGAAAACTGATCTGCTGCGCCAACATTTTTATGTGCATGACTAGAACACTAAGTCCTGCATGCTATCCTTTCTCCAATGCAGACCAAAGTACCTCACAAGTTTAATAACCACGTTGCATAATGCTGTGTGGTCTCTGGGACGATGGGAGCTGATTGCACTCAATCATAATGAGTTCCTGGAAAATAGATTTGTCGCGACAAATTATTCTTCAAGGGAAATATCCATTGCCCTGCGTTGTTTTGTTTCTCCAGTCTGACAGATAATCAGCTTGTCGTTAATGAGACTGGAATTTCATTTTAGATGACACCTGTGAAATTCTCTCTTTCCTCAAAGAGGAGCTGACAGCCGGCTAAGACTGCTAGAAAATATGATCCTTCTCTAGTCGTATGTTCGTGGTGTAAATCGTAGTTAAGATGACAAGTACAGGCCTCCTGTGAAATCGCAAAAAGGAAAGCAGGCAAATCAAAGTAGGAGGGAAAAAAACACAGTGAGTCATCAGTAACACTGTGAATAATCATGTATATTAAAGCCACCTCAAATAGGCGGATGTCACTCTGAAAAAAGCTGTACAGGTTGTAGTACGTGGGTGCCTCAGCCAACATTCGCTGTCATCATGACCTTTTCACCCCGGCCACCTACAGCATATGTGCACAACACACAGACACACCCATCCTCCCACAGCCACTTATAAGCACTCATCTCAAAACAAAGCAGCCAAGTAAAATGCAACTTTATCCCCCACATGCATCCTCCATCTATCACTGATTATTTGTCCTGTAGGATTTTCGAAGCATACTGACATTTTGTTCCTGTCATTTTCAGTGGTAGCTGCACTGAACCACGCTTTGCCTTTAGAGACGGATGTGCACTCTAACCTGATGATCCATGCCCTGATTCCCAGAGGCTAAATGTTTGTGTGTGTCTATGTCTGTGTGTGTGTGTATATGTGTGTAGAGGGTCTGCTGACTTCGACAGCTGGCTTCCTCCAATAGGCAGTCAGCGAGTACATCCGCCTAATGATATCACTACTGCTTGTTGATGTGAAAGGTGCAGCGGGAGAGACAGAGAGGAACAGGAGAACACACAACACATATATATTAGTAAGTATCCATTCACAAACCCCTGTGACCTGCTGTGCAATATTTCAGCTCTGTCTCAAAGGAAGAGGATATCACGACGACGCATACATTTAAATCAGCTATAATTGATATAGTACTAATCTATAAAGTGACAATACGAAAGCACTGCAATCTGCTCAGCGCCAAAAAACAGATGGATACTGTAACTAGTGATATTTCCCTCAGGAGTTAGCTAGAATCCAAAAACAGAGCAAAAACGACAGTAAATATTGGATTATGTTCATCAGCTGTTCCGCATCCCAGCTTCAGTTGAATCATGTTCCTGTCACATAGCTGCCGTTTGCATAAATAAGCAACTAAAAGGGTTGCCATATCAATTTACAGGGCAATATGTTGGTTTTGTTTTGACCTTCCCACTTATTAATGTCAGTAATTCCCAGTTTAGAAATTTAATTAATGTTTATGTTAAGCAAAATGACTTTAGTTACACAGGATTGTGTATCTATTAATATTAGCTCATACCAGCATGCTGGTCACACCACATCAGTGTATATATACTGTATATATGTTACTATAGCAGTGTGCACACTGTCCATATACACCAGCAACAGTATGCAGTATTTAAAAAAATCAATATTATGGTAATTATAAGAAGAAGCAAAAAAAAAAAAAAAAATAGCATGGTTCAGTTCAATTTAATTCAATTTTATTTATATAGGGCCAAATCACAATAATAGGTGCTTTATACTGCAAGGTAGAGACTCAACAATACAATATAGAGAAAACCCCAACAATCAAACAACCCCCTATGAGTAAGCACTTGGAGATAGTGGGAAGGAAAAACTCACTTTTGACAGGAAGAAACCAGAACCAGGCACAGGGAGGGGCGGCCATCTGCTGGGACTAGTTGGGGCCGAGAGGAGGAATGAGATGGTAAATTTTTTAGATCTAACCAGGAACTCTGTCAATGTACTGTAAAGTTCTGTGAATATGAGTATTTCATCATGAAATACTTCAAAAAGTAAGTAGTGATACTTTTGTAAGGATACAAAACATCTAAACTTCCTAAATAAGTTCAGTTTAGTTTTAACTTGATGTTTAATCTTATGAGTTGGCTACTCTTTCTTGACGATGGATATTTCACAACAAATATCAATGTGTATCTTTCTGTTATGAGAATTCTCCAGCAAAAACATATGAAGAGCTTATGTTCTCAACCTGCAACCTCACAGGAAGTAGAAGGACTTAAATAAGGCTCTGGGGAATCAATGAAAAACTCTCTGCTCTGGGTATTGTAAAAAAGTAACAACAAACATGTTGATTTAGGTCATAGTTTGTGACTGGCATTAATTAGGACACAGCACCCCAAGAGAATTTATTACAAATAGACTGACAGCAAAAGCTTGGCTTTCCTGTCCATTTCTAAACAAGTGACCAGAATTTGAGAAGACTTGACTTTGATGTATTAGTTCTGTAACCTTTATTGACACCCATCTCTCTGGTAAAGTTTTCTTTTCTTTTCTACAACATAACAAAATCTCCCAGAAAATTTCTCCTCACATTCAAAATGAGCATGGAGTATCAGCACGACTGCAAACATGTCTGTCCAGTGGGAGCTCACCCCCTGTGTTTATATGTGCTGCAAATACACTTGCACATTCTCACACACATGCACTGCCTTTTTCTCACAGACTCACCACACTTATACATGTTGTAAACGTGCAGAGAAACACTCCCCCGGCTAAATATAAGTGTACATCAGGCTGTGTTGGATAAGGTGGATACACAGTTAGAAAAACTCCCAAAAGACCATTTAGCTTTTCTGCTCAACTGCCTTCCTGACAGTCAAAAGGAATCCATTTACATACTCCTCCTCTGCAGGGAAAAGCTATGCTCTCTGTTTTCGATGCACAGATTATAGTTACTCAATTGTTTTTTTTCACCCGCTCTTCGAAGTCTGATGGAGGGAAGACAGTGAAAAGACAGAGAGAGAGAGCAAAAGAGAGATGAACCAGTCAATCAGGATCTGGTTTGACAGGCTGCGTGTCTTTATTTAATGACGCATACTGTGGTAGCACGAGACAGCAAATGAACCGTTACTTCTTATCATCCAAAACGAACTCTGAAATCTAAAGCTCCACTAGACAGACTTGGGATGGGAAAAAAAGATTAGAAGGGTAATTTAATTTGACATCTTCCCAAAAAGAAAAAAGTCGAGCATCTTATCGCAATCTTTGTTAATTCAAAGAGCAAAAGAACATTTGCACATGTTCTGTTCAGGCTCATTAAGAGCTAAGCTCTTTGTTAATCTCTTGCAAAGGTCAGATTCAACAGACCTGCGTATTTGCACTTTTCTGTTGGAGTATCCAATTCACTGTACAAGAAGGTTTTCACACCCTTGCACGGGTGGCACGTGGGACCGCTTTATTTTCTCCTTTGGGAACTCTTTAACCCGTGATCATTTTCTGAGAACAAATTCAGACGTTTTCTTTTGTTCGTGCTGCCTTTGTGCCATTTTATTACACGCCTCTAGTGTGTTTTGTGTGAAGTAAACACACAGTAACATACTGTAAATTATAACATGTCATCACCAGTCTGAAGTTTTATATGGCTCCTTGAGACTGCTTCAGGAAATGGCCTTTATTTACTCTTTAAAAGGGTCTGCATTTTTTCCCACACCGCCATCATCATCATCATTATCTTAACCGTCATCGTCATCAACATCATATCATAAAAAAATGCACAATACTGTATCCATAACAACAAAAATAGAGACAAATATTCAGACAGATCATTTTGTACAATACACGTTCATAAAATACAATACATATCATGGACTTCACTGTGTTTGTTTCTTTTATAAAAATACAAAGAGCAGTTACAATAAAACATGTTCTCGCTGTGGTGTTCGGTACTTTAAGCCTCTTTTTTGTGTGAACTTGGTCAATGTTGAGGCTGTGGGTGGCAGACGTTTCGAAAAGATGCTGCAAGACATGAGAGAAGTTAGCCTTCAGTTCTTTCTGTTGTATTTCATAGAATGTTTCTTAACCCAAACAACAATCTTTCTGAAATCTTACCAAATATTTGTGTTGCTCAAACCTAGAAAAGCATAAAAGAAAACGAGATTTTCTGCCAGAAAGTTCTAAAGGCAAACTTTTCCCACTAGTGCACAGGAAGCTCATCCTGGCAAAGCTTTTCCAAGCAGTAACACCTAGAGCAAACTGGTGATCCATGCACAAAGATCAATGTCTTTTACAATTTATACAGGATGGCAAAAAAGAATATATGTACAAGATCAAGTCCATCATACATATCTCCTAGTGTCCCTCCTGCACAGAATCTTTTTGAATGACCTCCGGAAGTCGTTGTTGAAGATGGTGTAAATGATGGGGTTCAGTGCACTGTTGCAATAGCCGAACCAGAAGAAAAACTTGAACAGTTTTTCAGGAACACAGCAGGACAGACACAGTGTCTTCAGCATGTATGTAAAGAAAAAGGGAAACCAGCAGATCACAAATGCTCCAATGACCACTGCCAGGACGAAAGTGAAGCGTTTCTCTCGGTTCTGACGGCCTTTCCAGCGGCTGCCTTTGGTGCTCGGCTCGCGCTTTCTGACATCATCTTCCCCTGGTTTGATTTGACTCAGTCTGGGTTTCCCCTTGGTCGATTTTTTTTTAATTGAGCATGGATTGTGCATATGATGATCAGAGGAGGATGAGTCCTCAATGTCCACCCCGTTGGCCTCACCTTTCTCATCCTCTGCACCATCGCCTCGTTTCACTTCCTCCTTCAGTTTGATGACCTGTTCGCCATTCAGCTTGTCATGATCCTCATCATCCCCCATGCCGTTCTGCTTCTGGTTGGAAGCAGCGACGGTGGCAGCCTTTGGCAGATCCTTTCGCTTTCTGTCTCCGGGTGGTGCTCGTGTCCTCTTTTTGGCAATCTGGTAGATCCGAATATAGACCAGAACCATGATGATGCAAGGGAGGAAGAAAGACCCGATGCAGGAGGAGATGACATACCATTTCTCATCATTGATCCTACACGAAGGTTTAGTAACATTAGTAAAACTGTTATTATTGTTATAATCATTTTCAGTATTCTTGTCTTTCTTCATGGTGATTAGAGGTGGGAAGGATATAACTGCTGCAATAACCCACACAATGAAGATGATGCATTTGATGCGACGCGGTGTCCTTTTCAGGTTGTACTCGATGGCCTGGGTGATGGACCAGTAGCGGTCTAAGCTGATAGCACAAAGGTGGGCAATGGAGGCAGTGCAGAAGAGAACATCAAGTGCAAGATAGATCTCACACCACACTCCACCGAAGTACCAGTATCCCATGAGCTCATTGGCCAAGGAGAAAGGCATCACAAGGGTAGCCACTAAAATGTCTGCTGATGCCAGAGACACCAAGAATAAGTTCTGGGGAGCCCGCAGGGCCCGGCTTGTAAACACAGCTATGACCACCAGGACATTACCAAACACTATCAACAGGATCATGATCGCCACCAGCACTGTGAGTGGCAGGGCAATCTGGAGGGTGTAAACTTTCATGTCTGTCTGGTTGGTCTCCATAGCACACTCCATTGGAGCAGGTTGACCCACTGCCTATCTGAGTTCACCTGAGGTTAACAAATATCATCCACCAGGAAGGACAGAGCTTGTAGCTCACAGCAGGGATGAGGAAAGGAAGCAAATGAATCACTCCTCTGGGGCTTTCCTCAGCTTTTTCTCTTTCATTGTGCACTGCCTCCTCCAAGAATTAGCCCTTATTATTTATAAGGCTGACAGTTCATCTGAAAATATGAGGCAACACAAAGAAACAAACATCAGATCCTTCAGTGCTAACAATTCTGTTCTCGCTTAACTATGACATGACTTATGTACTAATATCACCTGTCTGAGACATTAGGGAGTAACACTGAGAAAAGAGCGTAAAAAAGAGCGGAGCAGCCTTACCTGAGATGAAGGGCAGTGGCACAACGTGTCCAGTGCATGAGAGGCACAGGCATTAAAAAACTGTCAGTGGGTAACTTCTTCAGGCAGACCGTTTGAAAGAAAAGAGGCTCCATGAGGCAGATGAAGCGTTTCCTCTGCGTCTCCTCTCTCTCTCCTCACACAATGATCTCTGTGCTGCATCTAGTTGTGCTCAGTAGCGGACCTAATAGAGCGCTAATCACGTTATCCCGGGCGCTGCCGTGCTTCTGTCTGCGTGTGGAGTTTCTCTCCTCAGTGTTAACCAGTGCGCCACTCCCTCTCTTTATATTCCGCACGCTGCAAAAAGTGTCCCCATCACCGGGCCACTGTGCTTCCGCGGAGTGTCAACACTGGCGTTTTGCCATGCCATGTTTATCTGGCAACATATCGCACACAAAATACGGTCTGCAAGCTTAGTGCAACGGGGAGGCGGAGATGGAAAAGAAAAGAAATGAAAAGAAAAGAAAACTTGTGCAACTTCTGAACGAAATAACAGGTATATCTGGATCATGCGATGTTGTTACATTTTTGTTTAATTTAATTTGTTCCCCTTCAAGAATTACTGCTCCAGGTGTTTGGCATGATGCCTCGTGATCCTGATTTTTAAAACGAAAAAACAGCCAGAGTAAATAGATACTAAAGGCAGAATTACTGCAAGAGAAAGAACGCTTTTTTGTAGCAAAGTTATGGAGGTTTTAATTCAGGTCACTGAGTAAGAAGCCACATTTTGCAGTTCAAAAAGAGACTATTGAAAGCGTAAAGTACAGGCCGTGTTGGGACAGATATTTTTTGCAGTGCAGCTGCTAGACTCTGTTGCTAAGCAGCTGCCATGGACACACCATGTGGATATCAGAGAAGCATTTTATTACCCACCAAACCTAATTTATTTGGCCACCTTTCACACTCCATGTAGAACACACAAGGGAGTCCCCAAACTTTTTCGAGAGCGGACCTCTGACTGACTCACAGACCTGTTTGCCTGAAGGATACATATAACAAAGTGACCAATGGTAGCAGAGGCTCAGGCAGATGTAGAGTATTAGTTCTGTATTCCCAACAGAATCTAAAAAAATACAACCTGTTCTATAAGGAGTCCTCTCTGTGTGTGTGTTTCTCTGTGGCCACTTATTGAAGCAAATTCAGTGATTAGCAGAACTTTTTTTTATTGGCACAGACGATCTTATCAGTATCTCGTGATATAAACAGATTGCTGCCAAGTAATATTTTTCTTCAAACATGCAGGTGGTTTTCTTCTTCAGTGTAATGTCATGGTGGCTGCTGACTTATAGGGCATTAAAAGTGGATAATGAGGATAAAGCTAAACATTTAATTAAAATGGTTCAAATTAAATAAATATCAAACATATTTTTGCCTTTCTATTTATTTTCTAATGTGTCCTGTGTGACTGTCTTGCCATGTAATGAGAATCAAAAACTGTTTCTTTTGAAAAAGTTGTATAGTGGGACATGTATCACAATACAAGCCTATTAGGAGTCACTGTGCAATCCACTTTGCAAGACAAATCCTGCAAAGTGATAAAAAGTTACCCAGTGACCTGAAATAAACCTGCCCAAATATTACTTTTCAGCATTCTGACATCATGACAAACCTTATCTCTCAACCTCCTAATTAACAGTCAGTCCGAGTCACACCCAAACACGCAGAAATTTGACTATAACTATGAATAGAAACCCTTTGTCTCTTTACATGTCATGAACTCTGTTCAGTAGTTCACCTGATGTTTGAATTCAAATATTTAACTTCACCTGATGCTTGCATTACTCTGCCCAGTCCAGTTTACTTAGACTATATTTACCTGTCATATGATGCATGCATTGCGTCCATAGACTAAGGATGTGCCGGGTAATCACACAACAGCTGCAACAATTTAACACTAAAAAACATATTTATCAGTATGAAAAAAGGATAAACACTGGATCTTTACTGAACTTTAAAATAAACCAACTGTGCGCCGAAGCCGGAAAATGTTTTTCATAAATCTAAGACAGCAAGGGAACATTAAAAAAGAGAGTAATAAAGAGTCAGTTTTAAGTATTACTTAAGTCAACTAGAAAGTAGTTATTTTCCTAACTCTGACACATACAGTGTGGGCAGTATTCCTCTGACATTAGATCAAAAATCTCACAAGACTTCGCAAACCCCACAAATGCTAATCCCCTCTTTTTATGTATACAATTTATAGCTGGAGAAGCCTGCGCTTTTGTTTGGTTTGGACACTTTTAGCATTTCTTTAGATTTCATCCACTGGGGGATTCATTATGGTCCAAACTCCCAGACTCTTCTCAGAAAGTCTTTCTTACCACAGAAACTGTGCTGAATGCATTGTTTGTGTTCCACTAAAAAAAAATCGCTCCAGCAGGGTGACTCGAAGGAGGGAAATCTCGAAGAGAGGACACAGAGTACGCTGCTTATCATCAGTGTGTGCCGGGCGCGCTCAGAATGCAGGAGTCAGCAGACACACTGAAAAAAGTGTCGTGATAATCTTGACTTCAGTTGTGCTCGTCTCTCACAAACAAACTAAAGCTGCAACAGTTAATGGCGACTTCAGTGGGTTTAACACCCTGTTGGTGTCTATGCTGTGGAGAGGCTAAAACTACAGCTCTAATTATGAACCAACCATATTTTAGTTTGCAATTTTAGCTAATAATACACTGATTTTTACAGTCACGTGCTTACATGTAGTGTCTAATTTTCTGATGTTTTTTCCGGGGATCTTTTATTTTCTATTCACCGTTAATTTGATGATTTGGATCACGGAAACAGAAGTGTGTCTTTGACCCTGTTCACTCCAAAGCAGGAGCAACAAGATGTGGAAGAGAAAATTGACATGATTTTAGTCAGAAACATGTAACCCAATAGCTTAATGGATTATTAGAAATTTTGGTTGCTCTGTGGTTGTCTTCTGTTGAAGCCATAAACCACAAACTATCCGATAAATGTGCGGAAAGCTTTTAACGGGAAGTCAGTGAATATTCAAAGTGCCCACCTGCGAATCGCTGCTCACAGGCAGGACCCACAAAAAAGCCTGACAATCCAACTCTTATGTGTCCTGGCTGGTGAAATGATAGCAGCCGTACAGGGAACTGGCTGACTGTTTTTGGGTAAACATTGTCTCGTGGCGCCGGTTGATGCATGAGGGCGCGCACAAAGCGCAAGGATACAGTGACACCTGTCGTCTCCAGCAAGAGCCTCCCAGCTTCGAGAACCAGCTCCGTGGGAAAAAAGATATTTATGGACAACACAGACGATGAGGAAGTGGAGGAGGTCAATGAGCTCAGTGTTTTTTCCCCCCAAGTTTATGATTTCCTTTGCTAAAGACAGATATGTGGGAGAAAGCACTCTCCCACAGTACATACTTGAGCGTAACTAGACGAGACAATGAACTCGGTTGATCGAGTTGATTTTCAGATGGTGGTGGTAGCTCCATGGTGACATCATGTGAGTATTATTATAGATTTATTTAAAAAGATGAAATGAAGACAAGAAAAAAGAAGAAAACCCCGTTTCGAGCTTAAGTTAGAAAACAATTTCATCTCCCCAGCAGGGGGCGGTGTTGCACTGGACTGATGACACCGATACAGCTTCAGGCCGTTAGAGAGACTGTGATTACTTAAAAAACAAACAAACAAACAAACAAACATTGTGTAAAATGCACCTGCTGCTCTTTTACCATCTTTCGTTACACATTATGTAGCATAAATGAAACCGTATTAACCTCAAAGGCAAGGTGAAAATAGCCAGTCTGAAAGTGAATTGTAGATATATGGTGAGAACATCTGTGGCAATGCTGCATGTCATCAACCTGACAAGTGAGAAATGCTGGATGCAGACAAACCGCGGGCAATACTTAAGATTAGAGCAACCTATTTCTTTCCGTTATCATCAGTGGCGTTTGCAGCTGTATTCTCTGCACAGGTGAATAATGAATCACATCAGCACTTCCAAGATGAGCTGTGAATGAGAACAGGCTCAGCTCTGGCACAGGTCAGCAGCGATGCAAAACAAACAGGAAACGCGTTGTGCAGTGAGTGCTGAAATCGTCCCCGGGGGTGACACACAAAGACTGCTTCCACTGCTTAAGTGGAACCAGTGGAAAAACATTTGTTTATTTCATTTAGAACATTAGAAGAGTGTACTTTTATTACAAATTAATAAATAGATTTTTCTTTCTTTGTATTTTTAGACTGATTGCATTTTGGGCTACGATAAATCTTAATGATTTGTTATTGAAGAAACTACTAGCTCTTACAAAAGTTTCTTATCAAGGCAAAGTCCCACACCACCAGTGAAGAAGCCCCAGTGCATGTCCCACTAACTGGAACTGGTTCTCTGTACAGCTGCTTGCTGTTGCCACATTTTAACAGCACAACCACCTCTTAAAATTGCCACTGTGGTTACATAAAAAAAGATTTGTGTGTGTTTATTTGGTTGGTTGGTTTCTGCTATTTTAGAAATTGATGTTGTGTTTTAAAGGTGAGCATAGTAAGTTTTGATTTTCAGAGCATGATGATTGATGACGATTAAGCACGATGAGTTTTTACTTGCACTTTCCTTTAATAAATCATGTGGATGTTTTGGATTTGCTCTCATGTTTTTTCATCATGGTGGGAAAAAACAGCTTATTAATTTCAAGTCTCTTTTAACCTTTTAACATTAGGGAAACGTTAATATTAACTTAATATTCCCATGCTGTGATGTCTGTCTGGAATAAAACGATAGAAAAATGGGGGAAAATGGGGAAAAGGGGGGGGGGGATCCTGACTTTAAAAAAATGTGAAATTTAAATACAAGCACATGAATTTGTAAATATTTATCAGTTTATTACAGTTAAAAAGATGTATGTACATACAGAACATCACCAAACATGGTCATTTTCACTCATTTGCAAAGTAGTACTCTGCAGCTAGTTGGTATCAGAATAATTTTCTTACAATGGGGCGGCATTGATTAAGTTTGTCATTTACAACCAAGCACAAGAGTCAGTGTATTTCTCTTCTTTTCCAATTGCCAAATAATGCTTAATAAAGGCATATAGATCCAAACAAATAAAACATCGGAGGGGGGTGGGGGTGCTTAGTAAAACAGACTGTTGTTTAATTGCTGGTCCAGATTTCCTGTTTCAAACACACAGCTGTACACAGGTGGAAACACCTCAGACTGGATCTTGGTCACTGGTTAGCAATGAAGACTCACATAGAGGTAGTCATGTCTGCGTCTGCTCGTCCAGTCAAGAAACAACTCATCCAAAATCTGTTATGTCCAAGGACCCGCATCTCTTTACTGGCGTAAAAAGGAAATAAAAGAAAAAAATGACTGTTTTTGTGGATTAAATCAAGCGGTCATAAAGGTTTTGCTTGGTGCACATAAGGCAGTCAAGTAAATGTATGGAGATACTACAGGAGGATGTGTCAGTGGCTGGGTGCGATTCAGATAAGTATGCACTGGGAAAGATTGAACAGCTTCACATTAAAGGGCCATTCCACCAAAGCTGACTCGGTTTATATACAAAAAAGATGAGTAATTATGAATCCATGTTCCCTCATGTGGAAACAAACCTGGAATATTTTTGTGTTTCTGAAAACATGTCCAAAACTACCTAATCTCAATATAGATTTATTTTTAAGAAATGAAGTTTAGTCTCTCTGCAAAACTCCTGAATTAAACCTGATATAACTGCAGAGATAAGATATTAAAAAAATAAATACGTTGTTCTTTCGCAAAATAACAATGCAAGTCAGTGTTGGTGGAATTCCCTTTTAATGCCAAAGACAAGGGAGACGTAAGCTAATGCACATCCACTTGGTAGCATAATGGCATCATCTTCCATTGCGCTCTCTGTTTTCTTGAAAAACTCATCACATTACAGATTTTGTAATACTGAGCCTACCATAACGTCAGATTACTGTACAGAGTAAAAGGAAAAATAAGACAGAAGAAACTAGACCCAAATTTACATTGTAACAACCAGTTGCTTGTCATCAAGTACAGTCAGTGGCCATAGACACAAGGAATAGCCAAACAAACACATAAAAAAGACCATTAAGGCTGCTTGTCAATGTAGATTAAGTAGGATAAGCATTGCCACACAATGCTTCGACACCCTTTGCAATATACAAAAAGGGAGCATTTGCAGATACACCAAATAGCCACTAAATCGAAATCTTCTATGCAAAAACGCCCGATTCTGACCCAGACAAATCATGTCAAATATGTGTTCAACATGCTTGTTTCCTGTACAAAATAACAAGGCAAGAAAATGACGATTCATATGATCCAGAAACAAAAAAGCAAAAGGAGCAAAATGACTGATTCTGTGATGCTCTCGATGGCCTAAAATCACAAACGATAGAAAAATAAACAAAATACTCCAATTATTTTGGATGCACCAGTACGCAATACATCATCACCACCTGCAGCAACAAGTCAGCACCTGGAACTGAATGGACAGGTCAGTGATCTCCATCTCCTCCTCAGAACATTAAAACTACATTCCACGATCTGATAAATGCTCTCCAGTCGATCAGCCCCGCTCAGTTCGTGCCTCACCTCCCATCATCTCGTCTCTTCATACCCTGGCATTCTCAGCCTTGCAAAATGGCACATGAATAAAGTAAAACAGAGAGACTGAATGTAAAAATGGGTCACAGCGCTCACGCTGCATACCTAATGCACATCTCACTTTTGAGTACTCGTTGAAGGCATTTTTCACACAATTGTTTACAGCTAAAAGTAAATACACACACAAAACAAAAGAAACTTCCAAAGCTTTTATATAAAACCCAGGAATGCAATGCCTCCGGTGTGTTGTTGAGCGTGAACACAGAAAGCCCTTTTTACAATTTTTTTTGTCTTTTTCCGACAGTCTTGTACTGTAACTGCGTTAAGCTCAAATATGCACCTTGTGTTGTCTCATCGTTGTGTCCAAACGATTTGATCTGTGTGAAAACCACCGGGCCTGATGCTTAACCGAAAAGGTCAGTGGATTTGTCCCTTGTCAGGTTTTCGAGTGAAGTCTCTATCGTTCTTGGGAGTGGATCGTTTTCCCTTCTCCTGCCCTACTCGGCTCCCTCTGTCTCAGAACAGCATATGTTTAAGTCCATGAAAAGCAGCAACAGGTTCTGCTGGTAAATTAGAAGCAGCGTTTCATTGTTCCCCCAACCCTGACCCGACCCAACTCCAACGTGAGCTGTGGTGCTCACGTCACTTGGGCTTCCTGTTGAGAAGAGTGGTCAACACAACCCACTAAAACACACCAAGCTGCTGCAGAGAAAGTAGGCCCACACATGTCAATACAAAAAAAGATCCATGATTGAATATAGAATTGGGATGCAAAACATCTTAAGGAAACAAAAAAGGTTTGGTTTGATTTCCTTTTGTTGGATTTTTAAAATGCACAGTCACAGGAGATAATACTAACTGAAAGCACATTTTATCATTTTGAATTAAAAAAAAAAAACCCAAAACAAATTGATTTAAAATAAACTGGGCTCATTTGAACTGCAGTTAGCTGTTATGCTTGCAACAGAGAAAGCAGGATATGTGAATATTAAAACTGTCTCACACCCAGAGACCCTTTTTTTTTTACAGTTCAAGAGAGCAGGTTCCTTTGCGACTGAAAGGAAAACCTTCCCCAAAGAAAGTTTCCATTTATTTTGAGCCAGTGAAACTCAGCATTTATATTTAATTGATACAAATTTACAACCGTTTAACAAATAAAATACTTCTGAAACAAAATGCCCCCATTCAAAAATAATCAATGAGAGACTACTGATTTTTTTTTTTGTCTTAATATAGAGAATGCAAATAAAAAGTGCATACAAGCAGCAGCATTGCTGGGACAGTGTGGGACAACAAAGATATCTTTAAAAAAAATTAAGTTACAAATCAATACAAATCAAGGGAATAGTTTGCATGATGCTATTAAGATTCTTAACTCGACCCTGTGAAAACAAACTACAGAAAATTAAAGACATTTTTTAAAAAGAAAAAAGAAAGAACTTTCAAGAAGTTACCGGCCAATGTTTTATTATAAATGTTTTTCTTTTCTTTTTTTTAAACTCTCATACACTCACCACTTGCTCCAGAAGCTCAAAACGTCTTTTAAAAACGCTTGATATGTTGGTCAATGATCAACTGGATGACAGCTATGCAACCCAACACTGAAGATAATATCAAACAAGTAAACATAACTAAAAATTGCACTCAAGGCAACAACCAGTATTTGTATTAATATATAAAAACATCATTTATCCCATCACCTATGTATGCGCTGATGTTTCTCAATACCTTTTTGTCACATAAAATCAATATAGACAGGGCCCACAGCACTGCCTGTTTTGGAGAAAAGTCCAAGTTGCTTCTATTTTTCAAGCATGTGTGATTGGCATTTCTCTATGTATGCATTTACTATCTCCTGCTGCTATTTATTTAAAAAAAAAGACCCTAAAAAAGTAAAAACAAAAAGTAAAAGCAGTAATTTAAAAAATAAAAGTTACCGAAATAATTTATGTCTTTGTACTCTTGTGGTCAACCGTGTTTAGAAATAAACCACTGGTTCACTCTAGACATAGGCACATTTAAAAAAAAAATTAAGAGGTTAAAAAAAGAAAACAAAACAAAATGCCAAAAAAAAAAAAAAAAAAAAAAAAAAAAGAACACCATCATTAGACCTTTGTTCTCTATAGTCAAGAAGCAATTAACACAATTTATGTCAAGGGAAGATGATGTTTTAAAAAAAGGTTTTAAAAATGGGAAAGTCAAAAGAATATATAACAAGATGACATTAAAAATCACGGCAGCAGCAGTAAATTAAAAGTTCCAAAGACTTTGTTTGTTTTTGCATACAATTGTATCCTTGCTCACATAATAGATGCTTGTAATTACCGTAAATACATTGGCAATGGGAGCATGGTTTATATGGTTGAAAGACTTGCCACTTAGCTCACAGTTACTCAATATATATAACTTTATATATCTTCAGTTTTGGCAAATAGATGGAAATAATTCCTCTTGTATGATTCGGAATGAAAGACGAGTTACGGGTGATGGACTGGCGTCCTAAAATGACCGTGATAAACTGGAGAAACACAGAAGTCAAGTCTCCAAAGGTTTGCTTTGCTTCTGCCCAAGGATGATAAAAAGAAACATTTTCCTCCTCAGTATCCTCTTTTTATTTGCCCCACCGACACCTGTTGTGACGAGTGTGTTTTCTTTACAGTGTATGATACACATAATGAGGGTGGGCAGGCAAAAGGGTGCAGAGCAAGTGGAGGGTTTGCAGTTAATCAGGACTGGCATTGAGCTGCTCTTGGCTCAGACCATGGCACGGTATGGTCCCTGCATCTTGAGGAACTGAATGATGAAGGAAGGGCCTCCTGCGACAATCTGGGGTGGCAGATGGGTGAGGGGACAGTTCTCTATGCTCATGATGGACAGTTTACTGCAGAGGGCCAGCTCAAATGGAAGGCTGTGCAGGTTGGGGTTGTCGTTGAGGTACAGTTCCTCCAAGTTCTCCAGTGTGCCTGAGGACAGACATTATGCAGTGTTAGTTGAAGCGTATACTGTCATCCAGGGAAACTGTGTCAATAAAATAATTTTTTTTCAATGATAGCTCCTTTATTTAGTATATTAGATTTGATGCACTTTAAGCACTCATGAAATAGCAAATGAGGTACGCATAAGTGCAATTAATTCCAGCGAGCCAAAAGCTCAGGTCAGATTAGGTTCTGGTCATCTCCGCTAGACACCCCTGGCTCTGAGCAAAACAGCATCACCAATCTATTGTTCAAAGAGACAGCCAATGAGAATAAACTTGGGCTAAAAGCAGGGCACCTAAGTGCAGTTAAAGATAATCCAGGATTATTAAGAATGAAACTGTGCAAAGCTGCTGTAGTAACTACCACGTCAAGAATAAAAGTATTTTATTTATATTGCAAGAGGTTACCTTGTAATGTTTTGCAATAAACTTTACTGATCATGATACCTAATGCTGCAACTAGTAATAATACAAACTGCCAGTTAGTGTCCTTTTGAAAGGCTTCACATGTTAGTGAATATGAAGGGCAACAACATAATTCATTCATATTAGAAAGGCCAAATTAAACCAAGCTCAGAAAAAATCATTAATGGCCATTAAGATGGTAAGGAAAGACTGCTACACTATGGGCAAACCTCCAATTTTCATTAGCTATACAAATTTTAAGTCTTACAAACTATAAATGTTGCACTGTTACTGCTTCAAAAGAAAATCCAAATACCTCTATACCACATCTATAACCTACTTCTTCTCTCTGCCTAAACACTCTAAAAATACACTAACCTTATCTTCTTTCCCCACTCATTTTAATCTCTGGCTTAACGCAACACTAACAAAGCTATCCAGATTGGTCCAGTCACTGGGAGGAAGGGTCAGAGGTGGCACATACTGTGGACTGTTAAGCTCTTGAACTCTAATGGTTACGCTTAGCCTTTATGGAAAAAAATAATGGTTACATGTATTTTCTTTGTCATAAAGGAGATTTTCAGAATGGGTATAAGAGGAGTACTGACCAATCTCCTCCGGAAGGTGTTGCAGCTGGTTCTCCCCCAAACCCAGATGAGTCAGGTTGAGGAGGTGGCCGATTCCTCTGGGTAACATAGTCAGCTGATTATTTGTCAACACCAGTTTCTGAAACGAAGGTAGAGACAGCACAATGAAACTGTAAAAAGGCTTCTGATTCCACTGTATGCCACAGCATTTACCAGCTGGAGACCAACTGTGGATGATTATCTAATGTGTAGACAGGCTGTGCTGTATCTGCTCCTTAAATCTAAAGTGATTTCTATGATAAAGGATTAGGATCTCAGTTTTTAAGATTGTTAAAACAACTGATTCTGATTCATATACAACAGAAATCAGAGCAACCAGACAATTTTAGCAATGGTAGGCTTACCTGTAAATCTTTCAGATAAGCGATTTCATTAGGTAGACATTCCAACTTGTTTTCCTCCAAGTCAAGCTCCCTTAACTTTCTCAAATTCCCAATACCATGTGGTAACTTCTTGAGAAGATTATTGGACAATATTAACACCTGTGAAGACAATGAGGGTTTTTTTAAATAAGGAACAATCAGACAGCTTGGCACTATTAAATATAATGATTCACAGAATTAAACAATTAAACATCACAATTAAACCAAAAAATAAACCCAGAAAAAGCAACAGTGGCTGATATGAGTTTATTTAATAAATCACTAGCCTCAAAGATAAGTTCCCAATGTTCATAATTTATTATAAATCTGTACCAAATATCATCTCTTAGATATTGTGCTGAGATACTGAAAAAAAAAATATAAAAAAAAAAAATCACCCAACATTTATGTATGAAAGACTCACCTCCAGAGAAGCAAGACCACAGATATCCTCTGGGATCTTAGTCAGCTGATTGGTGGCCAGGTTAAGTTCAACCATGCTAGTCCATGTACCAAAATCCAAAGGCAGTGCTGTTAACTGGTTGTCCTGAGCGAAGACAAAGGAAAAGCGTTATTAGCAATATAACTGACAATTCAGTGAGTCAACAAAATAGAGTGAGCAGACTGATGGATTACATTAGATATGCTTCTTACAATAAAACATATTTTTTTGAAATGACACTTTAAGAGTACTCACCGTGTGTTTTTTTCCACGTAACAGATATTTGACTTCGATCTATTTAATGATTCCATGAACTTTTATCGTTCTACCTCACTTTTATTAGAACTACTGTAAAAACAAACTTTCCAAAAGTGCAGAATGTTGATTTGTTGCTTTGTTAAATATCAAAATTTTCTATGAATTCACAGGAGTGCATAACTTTTTGTATGTGACTCCGTATTGCTCAGGTATAACAAAGCTTCAGTTCAATACCTGATGTTCCTGTGGTTTTTCTTCTCTGAAGATATTTTAACATGTCACAGCACAGATTCAATAATGTTCAAATTCAATTTAGCTCCCTCAGTTTCAGCCTCCTAGTATTGCTCATGCTGGCTCACAGTCACAGCTTACTGGAACACTTGACAATAGCAGAGCCATTGTCCACCTGGACCTTTCTTTTTACGACAAGTCAAATATGTCTGCGGTAAAAACCAGGCTTAATATTCACCCGTTTTATCCTCTTGTGATACCTTACTACCACCAGACTTTGGCAAAAATAAAACAACAGCAGATAAAATGGAGATAATTTAACCAAAAGATATTAATTGTATATTGTATTACAAGCGTGTAACTATACCTTCATGTTAAGCTTGCTTAACACTTTTGCCCTGGAAAAGATGCCAAAGGGTATCTTGTTGATACGGTTGTGCTCCATGTTGAGAGAGTAAATGGTTGAGAACTGGGATGGCCCACCCACAGGGTACGACTGGAAGCAGTTTCTTGCCAGTGTTAAACTCGTCAGATTGACCAAACTTGACAGCAGACCCTGACCAAATACAGAAACAGTAGCATGGCAGGAATCATATGAGCAGGACAAGGCTGTTGGTATATGCGTTTGGGTTTTACACTGGATATATTCACAAGTAGACCACAAACATATCATATTACATTTGTGATAAAAATCCATGGTCTACTTACCTCTGGCAACACTGAAATGTTGTTGTTTTCAAGATTTAGCTCCTCCAGTTCTCGACATAGCGCTAAAGATCTGGGAATAGCTGACAATCTATTGTACCTCAGACCTAAGCGATTTATGCTTGCCAAGTTTCCTGAAATAGTAACCAAAAACATTTTTGCAGTCTTTTTGTATCATTATTAAATGTAGCTGGATTCACAAGGTTTTGGGGGGAAATAAAACAAATTAAAAAAAGCTTTAACAAAAATACAAACTGATGAATACAAATGATATAGTTATATTACCTATAGTCTCTGGGAGGTCCAAGAGCTCATTGTGCTGCAAGTCGAGGTTAGTTATCTGTGTGCAATTTCCAATCTCCCTCGGTAGGTGTTCCAACTGGTTATGGGCAACGTCCAGAGTAATGAGGCTGCATAGCTCCCCTGCAGGAAGATGCATACAAAATACAAAAACTACTAATTCAACAAGGGTGTTTTCAATATTATACACTGGCCTCACTGACAACTTCTAAGCCTTTTGTCTCATTCCACATAAAGAGAATTAAAATACAGATTTAAGTGTCCAGAACAGATTTTTTTTTTCCCCCCGAATTGGAACAGCCAAGTTAACAGCAACAATTTTTAAATGCAAGGGACTACAGTACGTTAGAGAGAACATTGACAATTACAACGCTGTTATTAGTTTGGGATTTTGGACTTTAGTAATGGTCTATGTAGTACTGTTGGAGCTGAAGGAGACTGTGTATAGGGGTGTTGTAGAATCATATACATTAAAAAAAAAATGGCCATCACAACGTACACCCTGATTGAAAATTAATACAGCTAAATATTTCAAATCCATGGTCAATCACTCCCTTACACTGGAATCTTCTTACAGTCAGTGAAAAAAGGCTGTCTTTTGTCTTTCCTTCACCTGAAAAATTCATTTCCATTTTACTCACCTATCTCAGCGGGTAGCTGTTTGATCTTGTTCTCACGAATGCTGAGCATGGTGAGTTTGGATAGGTTTCGGATGTCCTTCTCCACTGTTGTAATGCGATTGAAGCGCAAGTACAGCGTGGTTAAAGATGTCAAGCGATAGACGACTGGTGGTATCTCTCTTAGCTTGTTATGTCGGAGGTCAAGCATTCGAAGCTTCTTCAGGGAGTCCAGGGAGTCAGGCAAACTGGTCAGGGAGTTCTCACTGAGGGCCAAAGTGACCAGGCCTGATAGGCAACCCACCTCAGCTGGCAGGCTCTGCAGCTTATTGCTGTATAGGTAGAGTTCAGTCAACTGTGTCAACTCCTTAATGGAAGTGGGCAGAGTGTGAATGGACCGCTTGGACAAATCCAGTCTCGTCGAATTCTCCTCCCGACATTTGTTAAGCTCTTTGATCACCTCTGCATTACTGGACTTCTTGCGTGTACCTGTTGCTGGGTTTGGCCGCTTTATCGTATTGTCAACGGAGAAGGCAACACCTGGTGTTGAGCTGCTGGTGTCCTTCTTTCCTTCTTTGGCATCTTTCCCTTTGGTCTTCGGGTCTTTGCCCCCATCCTTCACTAAGCCGGCCGGACCACCTTTGGGGTCCTTTTCTTTCGTTTCTTTATCTTTACCTAAAGTACTACTCATGTCGACGTTATCGGGGAACCTACAAGATTGCTCATGGGAGTCTCTCTTGTCAGGTTACTTATTCCAAAAAAACAGGACAGACAGCCAAAGAGGCTTTTAAAAAACACATTCCTGTGCAGGCCCACACATTTACAATTACCCTTGGAATAAAGGCCTTTGGATCCAAAGACTTTTTGGATACTTATGATACTTTGTCCCTTTGTTAAAATGCCATGGGAGAAAAAATCCTTTGAAGTAGCTGGATTGTGGCATCCATAGGCCACATGCTTAAGTGTTTGAACAGCACACAATCCCAGGACCTTCGGATGGAAGCTCTTTCCCGTTGCAAAGGTTAATGAAGGTTTTTTTTTTTTCTTTTAAAATTCCTTCGACATTTGCTGTGGGAGAAAAACAGAAATTTTGTTTAAATTGGCAATTTTTACACTTTACAAATATAACACTTTGGATTTTGACAGTAAATTTCAACTAGCTGTCAGTCACTTTCTCCTACAATTTTTGTTTCTTTTAACTCTTTCCTGGCAGTTCTGACAAAAAGAAATACCCCTTTTTGAAAGAACTTCTAAGAACAAAATGTTTAGAAATATTTTCTACTCTGATGATGAATCTTAAAAGTGTTTCCTACTAAAAGAATGCAGTTCTCATTACCATTTAAAATAAATCTTTAGTCCTCTTGTAGTGGGCAAAGATCAGAATATGTGTATATGAAAACTGGGGGGAAAAAAAGAAAATAAAATGTAAACATGCTCCTTAGAGTTGTGCTGATATATGACAATGTTGAGATCAAAGATTGTAAAAATGAGCAGCGATAGCATAGGTAATTTTTATTACATTTCCTCTTTAATGCATTAAATCATTATTACCATTATCATCATTATGAAAGTTTAATAAATTGGATCTGCCTTCACTATCATTTCTCCATAGAATCAACACATGCAACACAGAGATGTCTGGGTTTGCAAAGGCACGAAATTAATGTGAGTGAAGCAGCTGTAGCGAACTATCATCATCTACTGACAGAAAACAGGAGGATATTTCTGACTGCCGTACTGATTTTTGAATTAGAGCTTAATGTGACTACTGAGATGTTCTTCTATCTTATCTCATTAGGCCTTAGTCACCTAGGTCTAGAAACCAGGCAGTGATCCCCTGAAAACATCTGGCTGCTAGGGAGAAGCGTGTATTCCAAGACCGTCTGACAGCAGGCTGCTGGCTGCCAGTGTGTGAATTTGCAAGAACTGAAAAGAGGGTAATACAAATAGGAAATTCAGACCACTCACCCTCAAAGTAAAAAGTTGCAATTTTTGAAACATGGTGGTTTGAGTGTTAAGGACTTTTATTTTAAATGAAAAAAACTGTCCATTTCGAGTTTGTATCACACTTTCACAACCGCTTGAAGGTCAGCAAATGTTTTCAGACATATTTGTGTATTTCATACAAACTACAAGTGACCACAGCAACCTACTGACCAAAGCAATTGCACAGAGGGTTTCAGTGCAGCACCGTATAGCTCTTTGCAACCAATTTCACTTGGTGATAGCAGCAAGCAGCCTCCTGAAACCACTTGCCAATGGTAAGGAATACTTAGTCAATTTCACAGAAACCTCACGCAACCAGTCAAACCCGGTTGAGCAACCCTCCACCCACCTCCTCCGTATCTTTTAATCAGACATAACTGGTTACCAGGAGATTGCAGACCAGTCTCTCAACTTATGTGATTGGAGCTGTGACTTTTTTCTTCATCTGGTTTTTCTGTCAGTGAAAAACTCAGCTGTGTGAAAACGGTATGGAATAGAGGTCAGGCGAGATGGGTAAGATAGGTGAAATGTTTTATTCAAGGGGGGGAGGATGATGGATGCTACTACAGCTCTACGGTTAACAAGTCAAGAGTCAGCAAATGTTGACTTTATACTGTTTTAGCTGTTCAGCTGATATCTACCCACTTAAGTTAACTACTTATAGTAGACTCATTGTTGTACTGAACATGCGACATTGCTAGAAAACTGCCGGAACATATTTCTCTTATTGTGTTTCACTGGCATTTAAACAAGATACACTGACAATATTCTTCCTTAAAAAAAAACTCCTAATTTAACAGGTTTCATTTGCTGTCATTATAATTAAGATATTGAGTGTGCTCTGCCAGATCAAGAAATCTGTTTAATTCACTCAAGCATAACCTCACACCAACTACAAAACAAACATTGCATTGTTCTAAGTCTAACACCCCACTTAACCACCCCATACAAAATTTACAACAAAATGATCATATTGACTCCTGAGGCAATACTTATGCCCTAGATGTCCAGAGCAAACAAGAAGGGATGTTAAAGAATATACATGTGTGGTACTTGTCTCAAATACTCCCAGACAAAACACAGTCCTTTGGATCTTTATGTGACAAACTAAGACAGCCTCTCTCTGGCAGCCGTCTTTGTTTAGCCTCTTGCTGATGCACCTTGATGACTGTGTAAGCTCTCCAGCACTAGTACAGGCTAAGCTGCAGCAAAAAGAGAGGCAGGTTTGGCTCAGGATCAGAGCTAAGTGAAAAGGTTAGGACTGCTGAGAGTAATCTTTAGAAGTGGTTTTCAAAGCATGAAGTTCCCACAACAACAGGTCATATGACCTTTTGGGTAAAAGAAATGTTTGGTCAATAGTAGCACCCCTTACATGAGAGAAAGCCTTGTAGTGTGTTTCTGTAAATAATAAAATGATGTATCCACTGCTCTTTTTGCCTGTCATAAATAAGTTAAACAGCTAATACTGTCTCTAACAGGCATACCTGTGTACTACATAATTATTTAAAGAAAATGAGAATACCCAGGCCAGTCCAACTCCTAGAGCAATGTAAACCAAACTGTGCAAGCAACTTCCTTTTATGGTTGTACTCTCCGTACCTGTCCTTTTACTTCTTTATGGCTATAACAAACTGCAAGTAAAAAAAAAAAAAAAAAACCATCTGTATAGATTTGAATGCAGTTATAGACTTATAAGAGTTGTTGTATGTTATGCACACAATATGCACACTGATTTCAAATCAGTGCAGTTAAGAGTCCAATGCATTCTGCTTTCATTTAAATCTGTTTCTCTCGTCTCTGCGAATGGTAGACATGAGCATTGATCAGTGGTCACGACTATTTGCATAGTAATGATCGTGAAACTGAGCTCATGGCTCACTGTTAGTCAGTGGTGCTAGTTGTCGTCATTATGCAAAAGTACTGTTTATAAGGTTAGGGAAACCTACAGTGAACTGAGACTGAAGAAGTCACGTGAATGTGTAACAAAACATTTCTCCTGCTACATCCAAATGAATGGAGAAAACTTTCTCTGATTTTTCTCCACTCCTTTGCTTTGCTTTTTTTGGTTCACCATGTGTGTGCTGATAAAGAAAGAGTTTAAGGTAACTTGTCACATTACTGGAAATGAAATTCCAGTACAACTGTGGATGCTCCTTAATCCAAAAATGAACCAATATCAACCCCAAATATTTGGAAGACAGCTGCCAAAACAATCCTGAATATGATGACAAAGGTCAGAATGCCACAAGCTCTGCTGCTGATAGTGGAGTTAGTCGTGTCCGAGGCACTGGCTGGTCTCTTGCTGATATAGTTGAAGCACAAGAAAGAGATTAGGGCAACTCCTGGCTCCATAAGACCAACATTTAGGCTACATACAAAAGTAAAAGAAAACGAAAATGAAGCCAAGAGAGAAAAGCAATGTTGTCCCCTCCCTTTGAGCTTTGCTCCACTTGATTTTACCTGAATACAGTCAACTAAGGAGAAATATACTTTTATTTCATAGGTATTCTGCTTAATTTGTCCTTGGGACTAAGCACCAAAGAACAGTTGCCTCATAGATAAGGCAAAGACTGTGTCTCATTTATGGCAATCTTATCAACTAGAATGCATTTTATGCTTCAATGAATGAAACAGTCAAAAATATTTTTATTCAGATCCTGGAGCATTTCCTTTGGGAGTGACCAAAACCTCTCTGGTGGGACCAAAATTCTTTGTATGCAGGATAAACCCTGAATTTGTGATTATCGTATCATCATTGTCAGTAGCAATGACAGTAAAACATTTCCCTAAGCAAAACAAGGGTATTATGATTCGTATGTGTCAAATAAATGCAGTGGTTTCTGTAAAATCACTAAGTGGCTTAATATTTAAATGAGCAAATACATTATCACTTCAGAAGGATAATAACAGAAAACATTAAGAAGAAGCACCAACAGGTAAGAGCGCTGTTGAACAACCACAGATTAGAGCTGGGCGATAGAACGATAACGATATGTATCGCGATATAACTTTTACTCGATAGAGAAATTAAGCTATCGCGATAGACCTCGCCGCTCTTGTCCTCCAAAAAAAAAAAAAAGAAAAAAAAAAAGGTCAGCCAATCCAAATTAAGTAGCGCAGAGCCGAACCAATCACAGCCGCAGCGTCACGTCGCGTGACTTGTTACGTATAGCACAAGTGCCAAGCCGCAAGTGTGTTTGTTTGGGAAGCAGCCAGCGGGTAATGGAGGAAATGAGTGCGCCGACTAGAAAAATCAACCGAGCGTGACCGAAGAGAAAACAGATGATGGTTCCAACGCCGGAGAGATTGTCAAACGGAAGAGCCATAGAAGTTCCGTAGTGTGAAGGTATTTCGGCTATTTCAAGTCTGACAAAAAACAGAGTAGCGTGCACTGTAAATTGTGCCGAAAGCAAGTCTGGAAATACAATAAACTGGTGCATGCGTCACACTGTGCGCCACGTTATTGTTTCGGTGAAATGAATTTCTACAATACTGTTACTGTTAATTCTACTCTCTGCAGTGTTTAAATGCTTACATTTACACACAGTTACTGTCTCTCCACACATACGGCTCGGTTCTGCTTCTATGCCGCAGCTTTGTTTACTTTTTCCCACCGAGGCTTCTAGACTTCTGATTGGCCAATATTTCTGCACGGTTAGGAATTAGCGCCACCTGCTGCTTTGGCATGTTCATAGCAGCGTTTTCCTTCATTTCTGCCTTTATGTGTGGACGGGATTATTTTTTAAAACGAAAACGGAAAATCTCCGTTTTCAAAAATACCCGTGTACGTGTGGACGTAGCCTCAGTCTCTGACTGGAAGCGCTAATTCGTCATTCGGCTTTTGTCAGACTAGAACTGTAACTGTTTGAAAAGCTAAGCTATACAACAAGGAGAGATTGAGAATTTCCTTTTAGTTCTCAGTTTATTTGATATTGACAAAAGTTAGTCAGTTTTGTCTGTTCTTCTGTAAAACAAACTAAGATTTATTTTTAGAATTAATATTTTGTTTCTAAGTGGAATTGACAGTTTAGTCTGTTTCGTTTGTTCTATTTTGAAACTTAAACGCTTTAGCGGCTGCCTTTTGTGTAGTTTGCAATATTTGCCTTTATTTATCTGAAAAAGTCTCATGTTCCTTAAGTACATCTACCCTGTTGAACTTATTATGGGAAATAAATATTTAAATAAAAACAAGCTGCTGATTATTTCACATTTTACTTGTGAGCAACGGCACATTTAAATCTTACAAATATAGTTATTTGGCTTATATCGTGATAGATATCGTTATCGCCTGAAATGAAAAAAACATATCGTGATATGAAAAAATCTCATATCGCCCAGCTCTACCACAGATTCAAGATATTCAGCCACTAGGTTAAGGCAAGTCCCTATTTGCATGAATGTAATGGTTGGCTATAAATACTGGAGTCCTGCTAAATTTGGATCATTTTAACATTGGCTCTAGCAGGCAGCATTCAAAAGCCCCTCACTTGGCTAGGTTCCTGCACAATGATAAATGATGATAAATAGAATCTAACAGCAATACATATATTCAAATACTAAAGACTGAAAATATGTGACACCAACCTTTCAAGTGGGGATATGCTATAGCCAATACGGGTGGGAGAAAAACTGACACAAATATGAGAGATTTTGATATTTCGACTGCCAATACCCTATCGATACAGGGACACCAAATATCAATAATGTATTACAGAAATTAAAATACTCTTGTGCACCACCAATCCTGAGATAATTTTAGCCCAACAATATTACATTTTGTTACAAGGAAACTACAAGGAAACAAATCTGAACACACTCAGCTTGACAAAGCACCCTCCTAATTCAGAACAAGCTAACAGCTCACTCACAAGTAAAAATAGGATAGCAACCTCACTGCATCTACTAAAATTGGTGATGGCATCAATTTTTTTTCGCATACTGTAGTGTCTGAATGGTTGCTCAGATTTTGAGAGTGTTTCACAATCACAACCACTTTTGATCGCAAGGCAACTGCACAGGTGGCCAGATAGGAGGCAACCTTTCTGCAAACAGTCACAGTCTTACTTAGACTTACTGCAATCACTCAAGTGAGACTGCTAAAGGTTTGCAAATAATTTCTATCTAAGCTATAAATGCAGACACATTGCCAATATGTTACCACCAGTCTGAATGAGTTTCCAGGAGACTCGACTCAGCTGGCTTTGAGCTGGATGTATTCTGGTTATAATCCTTTTTATTAGGAAAGTTGTTGAGTGTAAATGTAGCAGTTCAATATGAATTTCTGATAAATGATACAAATATGTGATAGCAATAGATATTTGATTTTTGACCATTTATCACAGTTAATTGTTGTATTAGCATAAAAAGATTGCATGCAATTGCCAACTTGAACCATTTGAATCACACACTGATAGCAAACTGACTCCACCTTAAGATAACATTTCTGGCAGTGTTGATATGCCTGAAATCTCATTTTGCACCAAAAAGAAAAATAACTTATCAAATAAGGTCATCTTATTGAATGAAAAAAAGATCAGTGATATCTAGAGAAAACTGCTGTTACTTGAAAACTTTTTTTCAACATAAACTTTCTCAACAAATAACATTTAAATTAATCTCTCAGAAGAAATTATATACATATTATTAAGGCTTATTACAATAAATATTACATAAATTAAAACACTCCACTGTAAACTAATATCAGAGTAGGTCTTCAGCTGGTTTAGCATGTAAGACAATGTCCTATCCTATCCAAGTCAACCTAATTGTATTTATATAGTGCTAAGTCACAACAATAGGTCCCCCAAGGTGCTCCTAAAAGTAAAGAACCTCAGACACCATGTAGAATGATCAGTGTAACTTTTCTTCTCTATGTACATCACTCTAATTTTGCACTTTGAACATTCCCTCACATCAGTTCTGATAGTTTCAGTAATCTACATCCAGCAATTTGCTGAAATCTGTGACTCCTTATATTGATGTTATGCTTATTGTTTTTTTATTACTGAGACAATGATTGTTATTCTCTCAATGATAAATATAAAACCTGCGGTGAAAAAGTAGCCAGAAATGCACAAGAGATATTGCTGCATCGACGCAAAGTGTAGTTACATTTCTAGGAAGGTACACGTCAGGTTATGGTGTAGAGTTTCAGAAGGGTTTGTGGTTATGATGTAGCTACAGAGCAGCTTTCCTGCTGAGCCATAATTTCCCAGTCAGCAGTTAGCAATAAGCTAGCTAGTTTTTTTTTAGCATCTGTTACCCCATGGCTCACTATAGTACCTTTGTGTTAATATAAACACATTACAGCAGACAATCTCTTTCTAAAAAGACTTGGATAAGGGTTCATTTGTTCTTAAACAACAGGGGGAAAAAAGTGCATTCATATTCAGGAAGCAGACACTGAAAACAGACAAATCACAACGAGGTTAGCAATTAATATGTTGTTATGTGGTCTGAGTTATGTGTAACCAAAAGGTTCTATATCCCAGGCTTAATCCTCATAGTGAAACCTTACTTGGTACTTGGCTCATCTGTAAGCCCCAAGGCTCTAGTATACACAGAGATTATTGTTATTATTTTACACCTCATTCTAAACATGTTGTACACATACTGAGGTCTAAGAAAAAGCCATAGAACATGTAAAATGACAACATAATTCTTGGGGGACTGTTCAACCTGAAGACACCACACACATACGGAAAAGGTTTGGTCGGTTGTCAGAACTAGGTTACTGTTAATGCTGTGGTATTGGGTGTGCTTAGTCAGACCAAGAAAGTCTAGTGTACCAAGGATAAACTCAAACCGACTTGCTCTTGCTACGCAAACATGGCCCAGTGGGTGTTAACATTGCAGTAAGCCTACAACCCCATCTAAGCAATCGTTCAACTACTTAGCTAAACCCTACAAAATCCACAAAAGAAAGACAATTTTAACTAGATACGTATGACTGGAAAACCTAATAAGTCAACAAAGGACATAACTCATGTGAAATTATGCAACTACTCAGCCAAACCTGTTTGACCAGAACGGTAAATTATGGATGAGCCTTTAGATCACCCTTCACAACTGACTGATATGCTCATGTGTGACTGTGTGTAAGCTGAAACTACTTGTTTAGCCAATGTAAATATGAGGCTGAACTCAAGCAAGGTTTTGCAGAAAAAGCTAATGCATTTGTCCATCAACACAACCACAACACCACCATAAAGTGCTATTTGAACTTCCCACATAGACTAATGAAGTTATCCATTAAGGATATCTTGGGCCCATCTGCTAATGTCAGTACATTCAGGCATGAGTGGAACTGTTCTCCCTTGTTTGTCCATTATAATCCCTTTAGGATCAGATGATACATGTGCCGATATATCAGCTAATTAGAGAATGCAATAAAGCACGTCCGAAGCAAAGAAATGTTTCAGAGTCAGATTCAAGAAATATTCAGTCATCTGCTTGCTGGTACTTCACAGTAAGTTGAGGCCTGTCAATATAGAATCTCCGTATGATAGAAGGACGCAAAATTGCACAACAGGGGTGAGGTGGCAGTTGCCACTAAACAGAACTCCACATGACCCCACTAGGTTGAGGGGGGTCATGTAGGCTACGTGTGCAAATGGCAAAACCCTGGAAACAGACTACCGACAGAAACGGTAGCTACCAGGTCGAGAAGTCGCATTTCAATATCACCCAATTTCCATGATATGAACACCTAATATGGGTATGACAGTGTATTATCAGTAATGTGAGTGTAACACCTTGACGCTAATAATGCTACGTTGTGACTGTTAACCTAACTGCACAAGCTAGACAACTATTTGTCGTAAACCAACTCGAGTAAGCTAAAATGTCTTCTGTTAGCTAAGCCACTTATAAAACTAAGACATATAATACACGTCTCAAAGTCTTTTCTAAACTGGGAGAAACAGCAACCTGCTAAGACGACTGACAACAAGGCAGGAAATAAAAACAGCTAAGCTGAGCGTCAACGGCACGGCAAACGTCAGTTATACCAGACTGCTAAATTGCTACCGTCAGCTAGCGAGCAACTTAGCTTACAAGCTAACGGTACTTTTTTTTCCCAAACAAGGAAAATCAAAACAGCTGTCATTAGCACATAATGAAATAAAGGACCATTGGTGGGTGTTTGCTAGACCGTGCAGAGAGGGTGTCGAGATTTGCCCTTAATACTCACACCCAGCGCTTAGCTTAATCATTAGCAGAGGTGTGTGTGTGTGTGTGTGTGTGTGTAACGCAGGCCCGAGCGGAGCGGCTGTCGGACGTAGACCGACCCGACCGAAGGGGGGGAAATCTCTGCTGTAGCCAGCTGAGTGCATACGGGTAGCAGATACCCAAAGAGAACATCCTGTGAAGGCGTGAAGGCAGCTGATATCCCGACCCGAGCAGCCACGCAAGGCCACAGAAGAGCCGACAACCTGTAACGCTGAATCTAAGCGCCGTTCCCGTTGTGAATATGAGCCGAGAAAAAAGAAAACAGAGAAAAACAGCGGCCATTCCGAAGCTGAACAAAAGAGTGCGTTCGTACTCGCCACCGCAAAATGACACATCGCTGTTACACACGCCTTAACGAGAGGCTGACAAGTACGTTACATCTAGAGCAATGCGTTACCGTGCTGTGGGGATAAAAACGTCCAATGTTAATGTACTAAAATAACTGCTTTACCTTCAGAGGTGTGACTCCGCCATCCTTGCTGCTTCCTCCTCTTTTCCTACACTGCTGCTCTGTTCCCCTCCCTCCCCCGGTCACCAAACTGCGTCATTCACACGCCTAACCAATGTTATCACGAGACTTTGAAATGCAATCAAACGTCCATTATTTTACAAACATTTATCTGTGAAAATCAATCTGAGACAATAATAATGATTGATTACAAACCGGAGCATTAAAACAATGCATTGAAAAGAAAATTAAAAAAGAAAACGAACTCATACAAATCTCTGACTTTTATTAACTGTAAAACTGTGCAAATACATTCTAAAAACAACTAAAAAGAGATGAATGTCCTTAAAAAGGCAAGCGGATTTGTTTTCTAATTTATGTCATGTCTCTTCTTCTTTTTTTACACTTATGAAAGTTTTCTGAGTTTTCAGCTCCTGAAAACGCCCCCTCCTGAAAACGCCCCCTCATAAGTGTAAAAAAAAAAAAAACCTGCAACCACTTGGGGCTGTGTCCAAAAGTTATTCGCTCCCATGTTAAAATACACACAGCAAAATGTGTAGACTTGCAAAATAGATGCAAAATAAAATCCAATGAATAAATAAAATTGTTCAATGTACATTTAAAACAGTACTACAACAGGCAATTCTATAATTATAACCTATACACTGGGCCACCTTTACAAATACAAGACAGATTCAAGCATCAGCAATCTAATTTAAACCACATCATGAACCCATCTGCATAATAAACAATACAAGCATGGTACAATCACAGAGAAATATAGTCAGAGCTATAAAGGTGCAAAAATATCTGTAGTTATGGCTTAGTGCACAATATATGAGAGACTTTCTCTGCAGAAATGGGTTAATGAACTCACCAAACACTAGGATACTTGTGAATCCAGAATATATAAAGGCTGCAGTTTGTTTTGCAATCTTTGACTGAGCTGATGCTTTTAAACCTTGTTGCACAAGCTAAAAAATTGCCTCTTTTTTAGTCTAATTTAGACATATGGGGGTTAATCCAAACATTCCGAATTGCATAAGCCCATGCCCCACAAAACCATTTCTAGTGCAATTGCTGTAGATCCACTACGGAGCTACTGTTAACCAAATAATTAACATGAGTGTGATTGTTACTGCAATAACTTACTAGTGATGCGAGGGGGCAGAGGCCACACAGTTATGGATGGGACTGATAATGCCACCCTTTCATTCTATATGATAACTTCTGGCTTCAAAAACAATAACATGGCAGCAGACAAAATGCTTATGTTAGCTTTCATAATGGGGAGTACAAAAACCAGTGGTCATGTCCATGTTTTATATACAGTTTGTTATCTTTACATATTTAATTTACAGTGAATACAATTTACAGATGACAGTGGAAATACACTGCTCAAAAAATAAAATAAAAAAATAAAGGGAACACAAAAATAAGACATCCCAGATCAGAATGAATGAAATATTCTTATTAAATACTTTTTTTTTTTACAAAGTTGAATGTGCTAACACCTGTGGACGTCGGGCCCTAATTTACATTGTGTTGTTTAAGTATTCCCTTTATTTTTTTGAGCAGTTTATAAAAGATCCAAAACCCATCGTTGTGTTGAGTTTTTGTGTTGTATATATCAAACAACTTGTCTAGCTCTAAAAATATTTTTAGTTTCATATAGATCCTAAGTGAGAGTAGATCATTCTAGAACATATTTTCACTTCATGTTTATTGTGGCAATAAAAAATAAGAAGAAAGAGATTATGCACGGACAAAATCATCTATATATTTGTTGCAACCATGACATCCGTACTTGAGAGTGGTTATACTACAAACTAATAACGCTGTCAAGTATTCATTCAAAATTGTATTTTAAGGTACTCATTTTTTATATCCCACTGAAACATATATAAAATACTTGAAATATATACAAAACTCTGAAGGTGAAATAATGCTTTTCATCTGCAGTAATTTCCCCTGACAGATCTAATATTTTTTGTTTAAAAATGTGAGTACTCGACACACCCTTTAGCTATTTTCAAGCCAAGCAGAAGCCATCTCTCTGCATATACAGAAACATTACCAACCTATATCAGTGCAATAAGTGCACATAATTATTTTCCTTCTCTGGCAGGTCCCTTTATGGTTCACCATAGTGGATCATCTGCCTCCATCACATCCTACGCCTAGCATCCTCTTCTGTCACACCAACTATGTCCTCCTTCACTACATCAACAAATCTTCTGGTCTTCTTTTCTTTACTCCTGCCTGGCAGCAGTCTTGTCTCTATAACTTTGTCTCCAATATGCTTAAACTCATCTACCTCTGCTCCTTACAGCTACACTGTCACACATGTGTCTCTCTCATCCATACACATGTTATGTCCAAAAATAAAAGTACAAAAAGACGCTCAATGACCCTGTAAAGCCTGCTTCATAGCGTCAAACATTATTCAAGTTATTGAGTTTTGCTATTCTGCTAGCTGCCTATAGGTGCCAGTAAAACACTGTTCAAATTAAATAGACAACAGAAGAAAATCACGTGATTCTTGCGGACGCGTTGGCTTGACAACTGTAATCTTTACCTGGTGCTGAAGGTGAGAAAAAGATTTCCATTTTACACATGCCCGAGTGGATGAATAGTATTGATTTGTTTATACTGTTGTGCATTGGTGAGACATTGTGTCTTTGGATTAGAGAGCGTTCGCTAAAAGCAAAGCTATCGTTAGTGTAGCTAGCTAGCTAGTACTGTGTACTGACCTGTGGCTAACCTTCTGACCACTTTATTATAAACTATGTAATACCCACTAGAAAACTTAACAGGCTCCTTGAATTTTGCATTCCCTCTCGAGCGGAGAGCATTTAATGATGCAAAAACCATTCGGAATTTATGAATATGTGTCAAAAAGTCGTGAAATGCCCAAATATGCTTACCTTTCAGCGAGCACTCAGAGGACACCATGCCAGAGGTCAAATCAATATTCAGAGAAGTTCTGCCTAAACAAGGTTTGTACCAAAGCTATGTGGACAGCAGTAGTTACAAAAGGTTGTTTGTGTCTCTCAAGAAAACACGTGAAGTGAACTGAAATTTCACAATAGCTTGGAGATTTAATCAAGATATGCTCTGTGGTCACTCCTGAAAGTCTTTTCTGGCTTAAAAATATAATTCGGGTCAACATTTGGGACAATATTGCTTTTCTTTAGTTAAAGGTGTACGGGTTGTTAGTAAGAACAAGCTGTTCAGTGGCTCACAATCAGATGTGTAAGATGCCAGATTGGTAACTAGTTGACCAGATATCAAAAATATTGTTGAATTCTTCCGGAGTGGTTGAAAAGATATAAGTTTATAGATGTAGCATCGTATATTTGAAACTCCTTTAAATAGAACAGTAGCTCTGTTTGCAGTACTATAAAGGTTAAAGTGTAAAGAGAACATTTCTCACAGCTAATGTGCTGCAGACTTTTATGAGAAATAGCAGACATGCTAGGTTTTTACATAATATTTTCATTTATGCTTAAATTAAAATTAAAATTTAATCATTTGTGGATTGTTTGAATGCACCTCACAGGACAGCTCTCCATGGAAGATGTCCCTACTATGGTTTTGTGTAAGCCAAAGCTGCTCCCACTCAAATCAGTCACCCTTGAGAAACTGGAGAAAATGCAAATGGAGGCTCAAGAGGCTGTTAAACAACAGGAACTGGCAATGAAGGAGCAACTACAGTAGATACCCAGTGAAGGATTGGAAAAAAACAAATGCCTAAACTGGCAAAAGTCCTTCAGATGGATCAAGCAAACACACTGATTCCAAGCACTGGAATGTATTTGTATGGACTTGGAGGGAATCTGGCGTTACAGAGTTAAAAAAAAAAAAAGTGTTTAATCCCTCTTTGTCCCTTTTGAAAGTCTTGCTGTTCTGTGGTTATTGTTGAATGATCTATAGCATGGAATTAGCAAAGATTATATCTGTTACTTGCCAGTAGGGGTAGTGAGCTACTTAGGTACTACTTTAAAGTGTTATATTATTATTATTATTATTATTATTATTATATCTTTCAGATAACTGCTTATTTAAGTTGCAGTATGCAGTTAGTACTGTGTGTTAAACAGACAAAAACAGATGAAATGATTTCATAGTGATTTAATCAACAATCAAGGAACGTCAGGGTGTCTCTCACACTCCTTATTCCCCAAATATAAAAATAAACACTCTTAACACACCACTTTGTGAAGTTACCTGATTGGTATTCGCTTTTGCACAGAACTCATGCCACGGATGTGTGATTAAAGACTGAAAACCTAGCACAGCATAGAAACAGCAGCTAGTTTGGAAGCCAGTATTGCATTGAACCAACAAACTCCCTTTTATTTTATTTTTTTTTAATACATTTTTATAAAGCTCTTGACATAAACCAGTCATGTCGATACAAACACTGCTTTCTAGAAAACACAAAAGGAGTGGCAGTGAAAACAAGAAAATACTGTACAAAACAATGTGGAATGACTGACACGGAGAGGTGTGGCACTTTAAGAGCTAGCTTATGTAAATGTTTATATTGAAACACCTTGGAGAGAGTGATCTACTTTAGTTTCAATCACAAGTGCATTTTTTTTTTTTAAATTACCCTTACCTCAATTTTGGAAATGTACCTTCTTTTGACCATTAGAAAGGAGAAAAACCATTTTTCAGGTACTTTGAAAAATATGCAAGTAAAAAAAGTAGCTTTATGTTTTTTGGGGTAATCTGGCACACAAAGTCTTCTCAGTAGCTTTCAAGTTTGACAACACCACCGTCTCCCTCGCTGACATACCTCTTACGGCCCCTGAGAGAAGATGAGAGCAACAACATGATTAACAAAAACAGAAGCACATCTCTGGAGACGAGTGTCAGATGTGTGTGAAAACCAGCGTGCTTACCGACAGGGACAGAGATCCCTCAACTTTACATCAATGATTCCCATGCTGAAGCTCTTGTCAACAAACTGCTCCAAGATAAAGTATGCACGAGGGACATCAATGTTGATCTCAGCGATGTCCATGTAAACTCTTTGGTAGCCCTACAAGAAAAAGACAACCATTTTACAGGGCTACAAAAAAAGGAAAGAAAAAAAAGCAGTGCATAATTCACACACCAGGTGGCACCATACCCTTCTCATTTGGTCCACAGTAATGATGGAGGACACAGAGAGTGACTTGAGTAGCTGCAGAACCATTTTGAAAGTTTTCTCTCCATTAGACTCCAACACCATCACTATCGCCTGCGAGAAACATTCACAATCTTGTGTTAATACTCAGAGTACTAACAGCTTTTAATTTAACTGAAGACCACACAATGCAACATTAAGGGTGTAAAGCTAAAGAAATCTCCTCAAAACAGATAAAATGTTTCAGTAGTTTTATAACATTTTACATTTAGACTGCATTTAATGTGTCTGCTGCTACATCAAATGTAGCCATGAATTTACCTCATAGGCAAACTCGTGATGGAAATGGGGAACCTCAAGATCTCTGAGACATCGCTCAGCCTCCTTGCTGTCACCAGAAAGGATGTACTCCTTCAGAAGAAGGTTCATCTGGCATGACAGAATACAAATGAGAATTTTTGTTATGGCAATATCCATACAGTAACAAAGAGCTACACAAAGAAAAAAAAACAAAAAAAAAAACAAAACAAAAAAAACAAAACAAGTCTGCTGCCATCTGCTTTCCAATTTCACTTGAAAGTGATGAAAACAGACATATTTTACACACAACTGCTCAAAAGCTGTAAAAAGTTTTTTTGGGATACTTTTACTTCACCAATTCCTCGCTTTCAGACCTCTTAACGTTTCTCCCACATATGACTGCTATTTTGAAAACAACAACGAGACCAGGCAGGACCGGTTCATCAACCTGGCACGGTTTGCGTTTTAGGAAGAAGTTCTACAACCCCCCAAATACATGATGAAGACTGTACAGTGCTGCTTCAATTTTATTCGAGCTTTATAATAAGAACCAATTACAATTCAGAAAAACTGCTTTCATTTCAGAGTGTACTTGATTCTGCTTCATATAACCTACCTCTTTGATGAGCTGTATGACTGGTTGCTGGCCTCCACCTGTCCCCCATTGGCTATCTATGCGAAGCCCACCCATACTCATCTTCAGTAGCACAGCTGCTCGGTCCAGAGCCGCCCTGAGAAGAAAGCGATACACACAAGGTTTATAAAACTTTAACCTAAATTTTTATCTCCTTGTTTTGGAGAGTTGCTTGTAATGTTTAAGAGAGGTGGTGCCTGAGTAGAGTGTGCTGGAGGCAACACACATGATGCACACTTCCTCATTGGGAACTTTAAATGCTCTACCCTCAATCTACATTTCTCCAAATAGCAAGCTAGCAAGGAAAATTGGACATTTGCATTCTTAGACACAAATTACACAGGGAACATGAGGTACAAACTCTTAACAAGAAGAAGAAAAAACAAAAAAAAAAAAATTCCTGCAACAGATGGTCTGGTCCTAACAGAGCCCTGATCACAAAAAACAAGAGTCAGTCTGGGATTACATAAAAACATGGGCACTGAGACAGCCTTCATTCAACCAACCTGCCCCAAACACCTTGTACACTGTGAGAACTGGTGCAGTTTCAAAAGCGAATCATGATCCCAACATTTTATTTTTATTAGATATTGTTTTGTTGTCCTTTTTTATAAATGCACACTTTTATTCAGTTTCTAGATAAACAATATAATTGGCAATATTTTTCAAAGCATCCTCACATCACTGGCAAAAACGTTTTAAACAATACTGTTGGTGTTAACCTGCTGCTCTCCAATTAGAGGACAACAAGAACAGCTGATCACAAGGCTAAACTAAATCCTCTTTTCTCATGAATCACATTGACTTATTGCATTATTCCAACAGCTATAATTACCCTGATCTCTCAAAATGCAAATGGTGCAGACAAACATGTAACTAACCATTAAAGCAATATAATAAAAGCAACCTATTGTGGGTTTAAAATCAGTTTATTGCTAAAAGATCTGGCTATATATGAAGACATCTTTAATTTCTGTGAAAAAACACAAAACAAACTTATTCCTTTTTGACTCCATGAACTTTTTAAAAACAAAGTTAATGATTTGGACATCTTTGTGCCATTTAAAAAAAATAATAATTAAAAAATAAATTTTCAACCGTCTATCCTAACTATTACCCCACATAGGCTACAGCTGGCAAATATTATGAGTTTCAAGAGATTTATACAAATTTATTTTCTGAGACAGAAAGCAAAAAAGTTTTGTTTTTTTGCTATCATTTTATTCGAGCTCCAGAGTAAAACCCAAAGAAAATTTTTGTAAAATATTTACTGCCTATTTATTTAGCAAACTTTGATCTAACCCAAAATCTGAAATACAGATTTTGTATACAGTTTTTCGTATTGAAGTACACATGGTATAGCTAAAATACAAACTTAACTTGTACCCTGATCCTTTCAACAGAAATTATTACGCTTCTCATTATTATTTATAGTTGGGTGCTCATATTTAACATGGTCAACGTTTAAAATAATGAGGTCAGTGTATGAACAAGTAATCTCTGTGAGCCAAAAGCTTCAGACTCGCCAGATTAATCGCTCTGTTTCTGACGGCAGAGAAATGTTCCTAATGTGGTAATACCAGGCCAACAGCTCCCCACCTACTGCCACAAACCTTCTGTTTGCTAAGGCTAGCAAATTAGAAGAGATTATTTAAAGGGAGAAAGAATAAAACTCCTTGTTTCATCATGCTAAGCTATTGTGGTGGAGTCCAAGAACGACATACCTTGCATATTCACAGTCAACTTTTCCTTTGTAGCCTTCGATGTAGGTCTTGGATAATATTTGGTCACTTACAGCTCGTGCAATGAATTGACCCACCAACTAAAAGAGAGATACAAAGATGGGAAAAAAGCAAATAATTTTAAACACTCTTGCACCATGTTCCTGTTTCTTAGAGCTGCTAACCCACTAAATCAGGAGATATGATTGACTGGTCATTTATTTTCGGCATAAATAAAGTCGGCTTTCAACAGCCTGCAACAATAAGATTATTCGTAGTTTACAAGCTTCAGTTTGGAGGCCCCACAAAAACACTGACTGGACAGATGACTGACTGTTGCTTCACTTGCACGTGTCTCTTTGTTTACAGTAGTGTGAGCACGTGTATGACGAAAATGAAAGAGCTGCCTTTGCTCTTCTGGCCTCCACAAAGCCTGGGCTCACTGTTGCTCATTGTTCCTGTACAGACAAGAGGCAGCTACATCTCAGCTGACCCACTGCTGTGTCTAGACCGACAGGCAAATGAGGAGTAAGGGGGCGTGTGTGCGCTTGTGTGTGAAACTGAGAGAGCGAAAGCACGAAGGGAAGGAAGTGGGGGCAGGGCGCTATCATAATGCCCCTTTAAACCCACTGAGAATTTGGAGAGTGGGACAGACATGACCAGCGAGACCCAATGAGATGGCGAGAGGAGGGGTGCGGGCGGAAGTACGCAGAATAACCCTTTTAGCGTCCTTTGCTGAGCTTGCTTTTTGTGAGCACGGTTAGACAATAGCCACAGATCTCATGTCTGTGCAGGCCGAAAGGGAAAGAGCTCTAAAAAACACACCGGCTCTCTCTCGCACACCAACACACAAGAAAAAAAAAGAAAAAAAAAGAAAAAGAAAAGAAAAACCCCACAGCGTTGTTCCCCTGTGCTCAACCACAAGCTATGTTAACACTTCAAACAAAAAGCATACTTCTAGTTGACGAGTGTTAAAACTGTTATCTTCTTTAAAGGGACTGACTTGAAATAATTATTCTTCAGGAAGTCAGTTTGTTAAATGTCCTTTACCACTTGTTTTATCTCGATTATCTTGCTGTAATTATCGCTGAAAGCCAGAATTATAACTGAAGTTCTTTTGTTTAACTGCAAAGACCTAGTTTGGACTCATATCCTCAAGAAACAAGTAACTAGAAAACACACAAACAGAATAAGTTGCTATCTGGGGAATAAGTATACACACATTTGTCTCCAAACACTCACCTGAGCAGCCCCAGGTGTGTCTAGGACCAAATCAGGCAACTCTCTGAGGAGTTTGTCAAATGACTTTTCCATGTCACCGTGGGATAAAACAGGCCCACAAAGGTCAGCCAGCAGCCTGGAGGTGAGCTCTCGGTGGCTGGCTTTGGCCTCCAGGGCCAGTGCTACAGCCAGTGAGGGCA